TTTGCCTTTCATTGTAAGGCAACTACTGGTACTCAATAAAACATCTGAAAAATTGAACAGATAAACACTGAGCTCTGATGATTAGCCTCTTAAAAAAGAAGATTGGAAGTTATTGTCTTTATTCACAAAGCAGGTACAGTACATGTAAAGTTGGAATCAGAAATGCCAAAAAAGATGCCCCCCCAAAAAAACCAGCAAATGTTTGCCGGCCACCAGATGTCTTCATATGCAGTAATTGAGCACGTGGGTACCAGAAAACAAACAGGTCCTTGCTTTGAGGATGTGAACTTCCTGTGTTTATTGAATTAGCAGTCCGTATTTTTGTTACACTAAAGTGAATAAATTGACTTACATGTACCTGTATCCATGTATTGTTTCTGGTGCAGTGTGCATGTGCCGGCTGCACTGTGGTTAGGAGTACATCCAGGAAGTGCAGACTGAGAGGCAGAAACGTAAAACAATCGATTTTTCAGTTGTTTTGTTCTCCATCCTTTCATAATTGTCTTTTTATTTTGATTAGTTTAAACTCCATCTACACGAACTGGTACATACCGGTAGGCTGTTTCGAGAAAACTCCTTATTGATTTGATGTGTAGTTGGATATTTTAATGTTAATTGAGCTGCAAATGCTTACTGGTACTGGTAACTTACACAAAAGCCAAGGTGTAGAAAAAATAAACACACCTCACTTCCTTGGTTGGTTCATCGGACAAAATACTTTCATATCTGCCCACTTATCTACCGGTAGAGTACCCATGTGTTTGTACATGAAGTGTGGGATGGGTTGCATGTGAAGAGTCGAGTGTTGGGACCCATCAGTCCAAAGGTCTAAATTTCTGCCAAAATGGTTGACTTGGGGGCATGTGCTCTGTCAATTTTGTCCTGTGCTGTAGAGTGTAATTTGCTGTCCAGAACATCTACATGTATATGTACATGTAGAAGGCTGGAGCACTGCGGTGACACCTGCTTGGGGACAGGTGGTATGCGCACTAGACATGCCTCTTGGACCAGTAGGGTGTTGTAATTAGCCAAATCATGGAGGAACGTGTTTTATTCTTCCATGGCCAAATGCACCTGCACGCCAAGCTGAAAAATACATGTGCATGTGAGTGGGGATGCTACCGCAGTTGCAGTGTATGGCATCTGAGCAGATACATGTACGTGTACAGTGTATAGGGGCCTACAGAACATGTAAGCCATGTTTCTAAATGAAAACAACTGTCAAGTGCCAATTGTGTTCTGTCTGAAATGTCTGTTTATTTTTTTTTGCTGATTATGAAAGATGTACCTTGTACAATACACACATGTACATGTATGTATATTGGCTTGATTATCAAAGCAGCCAGCCTCCATGAATGGACTGTACCCCATGCTGTTGGCAAAAATCTATGTACAGGACATGAAATTTAATCATCTGTCTTGCCTAGTAGGCCGTGTATGAATGACTTGGCTGGGGCTTCCGTCACCACCATAGACCTGTGTGTAATTTCAAGCTGTAGCCAAGTCATTGGTACAGGTCTTACATGTACATGTACCGCTTCCAACTTCCTGTTTGGATTTGTAGCTCTTTTCTTCAACTCCCCAAAGATTTGGCAGTGAGGCCCTGCTGTGGTCACACATTTCTCTCTTTCAGATTCCAAATTATCTGTGTCACTTTCAAGGGGAAGGGTTAAGAAGTCAACTTGTGTAACCTCAGTGGTATGCATGGTTTTGTGGAGAGTGACCTCAAGGTTGTCCGTTAGCTGCAATGGGTTTGTTACACCTTCCATGGCACAGGAAATGGTGTATTGTTATTTTTTTGCTTGATCGGAAAATTGGAACAGTCGTGGGGATAGAAGAGTTCACTGTCTCTAAAACAATTCATTTTCTTGTGAATTTGCTGGTAGACCATGCTTTGTATGTACTACATACAACGAGGGACCATTGAAATCCTGCATAATCTTGTTGGATTCAGCATGGTTAGGCTTAATTGTTCACAACATTGGTCATTTTTAAGCAGAATCTAATATTTTTGATATTTTTCTTTTACATGTACCGGTACATGTATTTAAATTTTGTGGCGGAGTTTAGACAGAAAAGTTTTTTAACTCTTCTTGGTTGACAACTACATGTACAGTGTATTTTGTACGAATATATTTACTTGTTACAAAAATGTCTATTCCTGTGCATTGCAACTGGACATTTAATTGCAGTCTTGTGCCATCCAGGGACAAGGCCGAAGATCTGTTGTCTCTTTTTATACTGCTGTTTTCTTCCTGTTTAGAATAATAATGCCCTGTGGTAGACTTTTGAAATTGGTTTCAATGGGTTACTTGGCTAGTGGTCTGGTGTCTTCTTTGAATGTAGTCCCTGATATAAGACTGAGAGTGTTTGTTGGTTGTGGTTAGGGCTGGTTGTTAGTCACAGATTGTATTGGAGGACTCTGACAAGTTTAATTTGATTAGTCCAAGCGCTGTACTCGTATCACAAACATACAGTGATATCTTGTTTGGAAATTGTGCTCGTTATGTGAGTTCTTACAATGGAACGGCAAAACAAATTTGTTTCTTATTTGTATCTGGAGGCAGAGTCCAATGAATTGGCCGACTCAACCTTTTCTGGCTGCTGGATCATGTCCATTATCAGCATGAAGTGGGCCGGGGTTGATACCTGAACTGAACTGGGCCAGAGATCTTCCAGGATATTTCTTGCCCAGAGGAAAGATTCAACAAAAGCCAGTCAACAGCTCGCTGGATTGCCAGCTGTTCGTGGAGAGTTTTGTTTTTTTAAACTTCCAGTTGATATGAAAACCGTCAGCTTTCTTTCCTCGCTGTTGACATACTATCCAGTGGATGTAGTGAATGTGCAGTGAATGTGTCAAGCATGGCTAGGCGAAAAGGGTATCAAAATAATTTAAACTAGTCTGTTCAAATCCACAAGGAGCCGACATGAGTGTAATCTCAATGGATGACTTCACGGTTAAAAAGTAGCATAAATGCATTGTCTTTGTAGGCTGTGACATGAATTTTCAAGGAGATTGAAAGAATAAATGGTAGTATATATGTTTTACCCATGGCGCTTCCTGATGTCTTTACCTCTTCATATGGCAAGCTTTTCCTGTAAATCACATCCTGTCTTTGCCAACTCTGGTTTTCTCCCCTGACTGTTTTGAAAAGCAACCCTCTGAGGATCTCCAGTGACGTATGCAGACATTGTGTTCCACCTGACGGCCCACTTACAGTATTCAGTAAGACTTTGGTTGGAAATAGCCCATGTCCTTAACAAGTGGGCTCCTTCACACGTACATGTAGTCCCAAAGACACACTTTCTCAGTTTCTCTTTATTCTATCCCCGTCATCATCGTTGACAGCCGCCAAGGAAAGAATACACTTGAAAGGATAGTGAGAGGATTTCCCTGGGTTGCTGTAGTAGCGGATGTAATAACGGGACAATAATGGCATTGGGGAACAAGAGGCCACGGGGGCCACACAGCGCAAAAGTTATGTTCTAAGGGCCTGAATGTCCAACTTTACAAGTCAGACAGGGTTTTTGTTGTGATTGGAAGGGAAAGATGTTAAAAGCAACTTTCCAAGATGACTGCAACGTTAGGCAAATTTCCAATTTATAGACCTGAGCAGGCCAGTGATTAACTTGTTGGTTTGCTTGACACTCAGAGCTAAACTTCAGGAAGGAAACCATCTAGATCAGATCTAGAGTAAAGTCAAGAATTTTTCGCTTTGCGGAAAATCTATGAAAATTGCAGATAGGGGGGTAGAAAGTGGAAAACACCATTCTCGGTAAAAATATAAATAAATAAAACAAATAAATATTTTTGATTGTTTCTGCACAATCAATCAAATAAATATGAACCGGAATTAAGAATGACGACTCATTTTCACTGTTTAACTCACTTTGAAAGTAACATTTGGTAGCGTTTCCCTTCCTGTTTTTCGTTTGCGATATCGCAGAAATCGGTATTGATTTCCTCCGGCTCCGCACTGCAGAGATCACACGGGTGCCCATTCCTTACATAGTGCCCAGACGTCTCATGGCTTATGAATATATCAATAGGAACGGGGACCAGTCCAAGAGCACAGTGGTATGGTGCGTGTAGGGCCTACATGTATCATTATGCCAAAGATAATGTACATATACCTGTAGATGTATGGTAAATGTAGGCCTACAGTACATATGTACAGTCACATACAGTTTTTGTACACAAAATTTAGAAAGCGCAAGAAAGCAGAATTTGACTTTCAGAAAGCAGAAAATTCTTGACTTTAATCTAGAGCTTTAGAAACTGATTGCAGAGTTACAGGCATGTACATGTACAACATGTACAATGTACCTGAGTCTAAATTAAACATGTTGTCTGGTACCCAAATTTGCTAGTTGGAGTAACAAGTATTGGTCAGGTTCAAAGTTTTCCCATCAATATTAACTGCATAAAAGCTTTAAATATAATGGCACATAAACTTGTATCAGTTTGTGGTTAGCATGTTTTTATATGGTCGTCAGACAAGTTTTTAAATTCATCATCTGGGATGAAAAGACAGGGTACTAAGCGACCTTTTCCATCAACATGATGGGTTCGTTCCTATCATTCTTGTTAATTTTTATCACTGGTACATTTACATGTAGTTGCTTTTGTAGTTTGAAATGGTGGAAGGATACCCACATATTAGTGTGGAATTGGACTTTGGATGCAAACATGGAATGTTTGCCCATCAGAAGTGTTTCATGTACTTTGACACATTATGAAATATGAATAGGAGGTATACAGTTTGTTGTACCAGATGCTGTAAAATCTCCCATTTTACCAAACAGGTTCATTGCTTAAACATGTAACTAAACCACCTGTAAAAGGTCAGTCATGTTGACATGTGTCCAAGTTCAAGAACTTGGTGATTTCTAGTGAAGCTGTGCACAGTACGGTTGCGCATGTGGCTTTTCATTGGGTGGTGACCACGCAGTGTTTGCATTGATAAATTCATTCATATCAGCCAGTCAGGCAGTGTGGCAGGCTGACTCCTATGTCAACACAGCTCTTGGGACGGACAGCAAAACCTCCGACGTTGGTTCCCATCATCATTTAACCTAACAACGTGTGGTATTTAACGGCAGAGGAATTATGCAAGTTGGAGGGGAACAAAATTCTTGGGCTGACTGCTGCAAGTGATTCTGCCAAATGAGACTTCTCTTTTCTTTTGTTCATTTTCCTCATTCCTCCTGAATGCACGAGGGGGATCTATCAATATGCGTTGTACGTGTTATGTGTTTTGTTTTAGCTGTTCTCCCCGGGACAATCCGCTCTGACTGTCTGCTCTGATTCTAACCAATCAGAAGTAACTACTTGTAATGTGATCCTAAATACCGTGGCATTTTGAGAGCGAATAGCCAATATCGATGGCCAATCAGAGGCATCTGAGGGTCATGGAGTGAAGTCGTCGAGTGTTTTCAGCCAGATAGGATTTCTGCTGTTACGGCTTTTTTTGTCTTCAGTAAATAATCGCAGTCCTTCACAGCACCCATCAGATTTCTTTGCAACGTTCTCTGAACAGTGAATGATTGCTTTGCCGTCTTTCATCTCTCTTGCCTTTTTTGTTTTGTGAAAACTGTATCCATTTTGGTATTTGTCATCAGACAGGCTACAGATGCAGTTTAAAGGCCAGTGAGGCACATGCACGTGTAATTTGTCCAGATGTTGTGGCTGAACAAGGAATGAACTGACTGGTACAAACCTCTGCAAGGCAGTGCATTTGTTTTGGATCTAGGTGAGGAGATGTAACGTGGTTTATACAAGTGTAGGCATCAAGCCTCTCCCTTTATTGATCTGTGGAAACTCTCGAGCAACACATTCACAGCCTCACCGAGAATGCACCTCCCGCTGCCTCAGAGTGGAGCCAAGATTGTGAGTGGTGACTAACATTACGTCTGCTCCATTGTGTGCATTGACTCACTGTGGCATCATCTCTGTGCATGAAAGTACCGGTACATGTACATGTGTGAAAGTACCGTAAACCAAGGCACGATTTCAATACCGACAGTTGCCCATCCACTGAATGTAACCTACACATTCACAGGGACATGCATGTACATGTATGTTAAAGGGATTTTTTTTCAACCTTGTTTATTGAAGAAATGGCCTCTACTAATATGCAACATTCATCTTTTGATCTGCTGGTTATAATGAACTGTATTAGTATTGCACTGAGGAACCACCTTCGATCCTAGGCCACTAGATCCAATATTGTTTAAAGGCCGTTTAATCTTCAGTTTCTATTCACCTGTTTGCTGATTGCATCTGTAATCAGTGGAGTTTGTGAAATCTATGGTCTTTTATCAGTGTGTTTAAGCAGTTGGGTTGCTGGCTATGGTGACTGATATTAATCCTGTAAGCATTATTGCCCAGTTTAATCAATCAGTATTGTAATGCATCCGCTGGCAGTGGCTGGCCCGTTGCCGAGGTAGAGGAGACTGGATGATTTGTATAATGCGCCATTAATGTGGCTTGTAAGATGACTCATTTTACTCCAGGAAAAAAAAATCATAACAAGGTTCAAGTGACTGTAACCGGGTTATGAATGCTTGGAAACTGTGTTAACAGACGGCCCTTTGGCCATGGGCACATGTTTGAGCAGATGGACAGAAGTGAGCGTACTGATTTCAACGTTTTGGGACAGTTCATCCTAAGAACTTGACACGCCTGTGCCCAAGTGACAAGGCAATTATGAGAATGATTGGGTGTACTTTGGGAGGGCGCAAGCACGTATGCACACCTCCGCTGGACGGCTTTGCTTCTCTCCAACTGGCGTAAATTGAAAACAACGCTTCGTGGGCAGACGTCAGTGGCTGAGCTCTGCATTGTCAGATTCACAGAAGTGGGACAGTTTAAAAAACGGGATTAATTTTCACGCAAAAGGCATAGAGCCTTTCTGGACTTTTGGAAGCTCAGGTGTCATCAGTATCTTCTTTCGCTCTTACATTGTCACCAACCTTGGCTTGCCACATTCAGTACTCTTCAAGTCTAAAGAACTGGTCAATTCACGTGCCAAGCTGCACGTACGATCATGTTCCACCGTTACAAGAAAATGAATGATAGTGTTTAACTGCAAATTATCCCTACTCAAAGCGGAGGTGTCTCAAATTTTTTGAGGAAGATGTCAACAGGACATGTCCTTTCTTGATGTATCCTTGCCAATCGGGAATTGCAACCATTGGAGAAGTTTATATCATTTCGTGGAGATTTGATGAATGTTGGTAATGTCAAGTAACATTTCGCAATTGAATGCACATTGACTGACTGATGTGCTACATTGGAATGGTAGTCTGTTACAGTTTTCAGAATTACTGGATTGCATCTAACGGGACCTCTGTCAAAGTTACCATCAGTGACCTTGAATGCGACATGAGTGGCTGAGATGAAAGCCTCTTGAGACAAACGCAAGAGCTAAAGAGATAGTCATTTGTGCTTAGCATCATGTGCCATTCACAACGTTCATGGTCTGTCGGTTCTCGGGAAGGCCTGAAGTCGCTACGTAACCGACATCGTGAGGACTACGTATTGGAGGAGGAGGAATATAGCTCCCCAGAGGTTGTGCTGCGGCAGATTCATCGGCAGGTGATTCGGTCCCGGTCAGCGGTAAGAAGAAAACAACTTCTCATTAAAATTGTAACGCAAAGACCTGGAGAGAATGATAACAAAAAGGGTTTAAGCAGATGGGTGAAAGAAATGTTTGCTTATCTGAAAAATTCCTAATTTTCATTCACAGTTTGAGCAAGCAAACAAGCAAAGCCACCCCCAAGAAAAAAATTTTGGAAGCACCCTCATCCAAGCACCCAAATATCGGTAGAACTTATTTCATACATGTCGTTTCATTTTCAGAAACAGGATATTATTTAAAGAACCTTTTCCATTCCCATATTTTGCTGATCTGTTGACTTAAAACAGTTGAGTGCATTCTAGCCCTATCTCTTCTTGTCTGCATGTTTTTCATGTTTAAATGCCATGTAAACATGAAAAGTTCTTTATGTTGGTGTTCTAGGCTCAACTGTCTGATTTCGGCAATCTCATCTCCTATAGACGTTCATAAACAAGTTTTAAATGCCAATCATTGCGCTTAAAATGAAGTAAGATCAGCTGATACAATCAGGCAGAGATGTGGGGTTGTTTCATGAAGGGTTTGACAATTAGGACTTTGTGACGTGACAGTCTGTTCTAAACTATCCTGCTTCCTGTTTTTGTTGTTTCTAATAACTGACCAATCCCAAGAGCTTCATTTAATCCTGAATCAACTTGAAAATTCACTGTGTACTCATGCATCATATATTATTAATGCACATCAAGTCTCTCTCTGTGAGAAGAGAAAACCACCTGCCTGCCTTACAGACACATGTATTTCCCAGTTCCCTCAAGGAGCTGATGAGAAAGATTCAACAAAATAAACAATGGGAAAAATTGCTTGAGAAATACGAAAGTAGGAGGCTGATTTGGCTCTTCTTGACAGTCCCTGATGCGATAAATGTAGAGGATGTGTGTCTGGTTTCCTGGAACATGACTCTGCAGTAATACTAGCAGAAGATGGCTCCCCTTTCTTTTTTAGAAAACAGGAAAATCTGACATACATGTAATTATATTCCTTGTATTGATGCATTCATCTCGTGAAAATTATACATGTTTGCCACTATTATTAGAGATGCCTTTTCTCAAATGAGGTTGTTTCTTTGTGTTTGTTTGTTTGTTTGTTTGTTTGTTTGTTTTTACTAGAGGAAAATTCACAGAGATTTTCCTCCAATCTGGTGACCTAGCCAAAATTAAAGAGGGACTGTACTGTTTTATGTGGTGGAAATGAGCCAATTTTGTACAGAACATAAATGGAGTAGATTAGTAGGCATACAGGTGGGTGAGAAGATTCAGTTGAACGATTACATGTAGATCCACTCAAGTAAATTAAGAGAAAATGTTCATCAAAGAATTAAGTGTACCGGTACGTGTAAGAATTGGTCAGTAATGAAAATAAAAGAGAATGAAGAGAATCAAGATTAAGGAAACACGAAAGTTTATTTGAGAATGCTTTGTGAGTTGGCTTTTAAAAATGCAGCTGTGCTTGTTGCTTTAACTAGAAACAGTTGAGCAAGCTTGGCGTAAATTGCATTGCATCAAATAAAAAATTGAGTGTGCACGTGCATGTCTACATCCCGTAATTAAAGTATGGTGGTTCTCTAACTGGCTGTCAAAAAACAAGACGGAGGGAGGGCTGATGGGACGGATGGGCTCCCCCGTGGATCAAGCAGTTCAAATGTCAGTTATCAATTCTAGGGTTTCTGCACCAAACTGCTGGACTGGTTGCTAGGGTAACAGGGGATATTAAGTCCTCACAGTTGGCGCCATCGGGGGGGGACTGGGGATGCATGATGGAAAAAGATGAATGCATAATTTTTACATATTTTTGTGGCATGGGAATTACAGATGGCAGACCAACCAGGAATTTTGTGTCAGTGGTAGGATGGCATTACTTCAGCTGAATTAATTAGGAAAGGCTTTGCATTTGAAAAGGTCATTATTAACAGACAACCTGCTGCAAGCTGGTGTTTATGTGGTATTTATAGTAACATCGACACAGATGTGTTTTGGAGACAGGCAAAAATTGACAGATTTGAAAATAAATGTCATATGCTAATTCAGTCACAGCTTCGATTTCCCAGACAGTAAAGTCTCCGGCCTCCTTGTGTACTGGTTATCAGTATACATGTATTAGGCTGTTTTCTTTTCTCTGAATGCTACCAGCACAAGGCACCAGTACATACATGACTACCAGTGCATATCACCTGCAGTGTCATTGTGTGGTTTTGTTCCCCCCTGATTTCAAGGGAACTGTTTGATATTTAGATTCTGTTAGATAGCATTGAAGGAAAACTCCTCTGGACTGAAACCTGAAGTACTGGCACATGTACAAGTAGATTGGATGGAAATCCTGAGGGCTACCTGTCAAGGTCTAACACCTCACAGTCATCCAGTGGAGAAGTCTTTGTACACAGGTAGACCATACTCCGGGATAAATCTAGTTACCCAGCCACACTCCAGCCATAGTGACTGCAGCTCTCTACATTTCAAATTCTGAATCTGTGGAAATGCTTAAAGTTGTAGACGACCTTGATCAGAGTGGACAGTCTAGAAAGCTGTTCTTCCTCTTAGCTTCCCTCTGGGAATTGTATGTTTATTTATCTTTACCAAGATTAATTAAATAATGTTTGCATATCTAAGTTAAATATTGACATGACCTAAGTTGTACCATGCAGATCGTTTTGCACACATTTATGTAGGTATACACATACATATAAAGTACTTGAGTATAAAATGCACTGTGCCGTGGTATCGCTACATTCATCTTGAATTCTTGACGTGCAGTATTTCACGATTGCACAAACATTTTCTGTCAATTGTAATAAATACAGTGACAAAAAACAGTAGGCAGAGGGAATTTATCCTTGGGGGAAGCGAGTAAAGTAGTATCCGTGGTGACCGCACGGTGCTGCATCTATTACGGATCAATCACAGGGTTTCCATGGCAACTGCAGACAGAGAGAGCTACATGTATGTGTACTCAGCTATAAAGACTGCATACTTCTTGATGTAGTGAATAGAGCACACCAGTGTATAGAAGACAAGCTCACCTGTCTGCTCCATCCAGGGCCCTATTTTATAGTGCTGCTAAGCATACGATTTTACGCTAACAGGGCCCCTGTTTATTTCATGGAAGTCTAAGCAGTAAGTGCAGCAAAAGGCATGCTTACCTTGGTGGAAAAAATTGCTTAAAGTAGTGACAAAACAATGGAAATCTTTATGCTGGTGTAACCGTAAGCACAACCTGGCCAAGCACCGCCATGAAACAATGCTTAAGGTTAGCAGTTTTTTGGGGGGTTTAGTAAGTCTGGTGTTACTGCTAACAGTTTTAAAAACAGGTCCAAGAAATTGAGCCTGGAAAGCGAGTGCCATGCTGTCACCCCGAAGGTTTAGGGGGTGATCACTTCTGAGAGAAAAAAAAAGATTTGTCAGAAGTGACCCAAGTAGAAAGATTTATGGGCCCTGAGACTAGGATTTAAAAAAAGTTTCAGTCAGGTGTGAAAGGTCACTTCTTTTATGCTTTTCTTTCACTCAGCGAATTCAAGTCCCATAATGACCCCAGCTGTGTACATGTACACCTCCTGGACAGAATCCACATTCAGGTTCGAAAGAAGATGGATGCTAATTCGTGAACCTTGTCTGCTTTAATGGCAGAAAATAATAGTTATTATAGCTACATGTACATTGTATGGTGCTGAATTATGAGAGGATCCAAGGAATAAGCTCAGAGAAAAGAGAAAGAAGATGAAAGACAGTCAGCTTTGATCTACATGTAAGAAAAAGATCTTGCTTGAGAGCAGATCTGAGTTCCATAGGCGAGGACAGCATTAGAAAAAAACCTGGTCCATTTTTTTTTTTAACTTTAGGATAACGAGTAAAATAGTGAAAAGAATGAAGGGAATACATGTAGAAACATGTTCATCTGAACACTCAAAAGAAATACTTGTACATGTTCACGTAGTCTTGGGCAGAGTTGCTTTGTGGAAGTGATTTGGAGGTGTGAACTAAATTGAATGTGTTGATTGAATATAAGCCAATGATGTTCCTGAAGCTGGGAGGATGTGTAGGTGTGCATGTATATGTGTGGATTTCTGGAGAGTAAACTTGGCAAATCTGTTTTGCAGTTTTTACTTGATCAAGGCAATGGTATCGTTGGTCTGTATGTGCGTAGAATGATCTAGTTCCATCCAGTTTTGACCTATCATATGGTACATGCCAGTACAAGTAGTGATGTCTACATCGATAAACTTGATTTACCAGATCCATGAAATGCCCAAGACATTCAGTTTTGTCATTAGCACATTTAGTTTTTAGAGTTGCTTGGTCTAGCAAAAGCTTAAGGGAGCTTTTGAAGATGTTGTTATGATGGAAACTATGTTTATTGCAGGTACTAGAACGTGCTGGTACTGTAAACTTCCAAGAATATAAATCACATGTATGTGTAAATTGTTTGGCCGGGATATATTGTACTGTAGCCAATCAAAATTAATCAATCCGTGATTAATTTCAAATGGTGTCATTTTCCACTCCGGTGTATGTAGACTTGCTCAAACGAAATTTTCCCAGAGATTTTAACTCCTTCAACCTCCCCCCACAAAAAAAGGGATGACTATGCACTAATTCTGTTTTGACGGCGGCCAATTCAATAAGCCAGAATTCAATTTGCAGCTAGCCCATAAAGACTGATCTGTGCGACGATAACACATGAATACACATGTGCCACGAATGCCCGTTGCTTTTCTCAGTCGCAGAATTGCTGCACATATGTACCACAGGCACTGAATTTCTAAATTGCACACCAGTGACTCTCAAAGCTTCAGGCTCTCCTGGGATGTTTTTTATATTACTATTTCCTGATAAAGATCTGATTCAACAAAATTTTTACCTTGGCTTCAAGCCACCAGGGATGCAAGAAGATAAATTAAATCCCTTTTAAGGTCCTGCTTTAATTTTTTTTTGGATTAAATGATTCTTTTTGTTTTTACTAAGTGCAATGTAATTTTGTTTTGACCAGTGAC